TGCAACCATCAGCAACTTACGAAACAGAAGCAAAGCTGCCTTGCAATTGGAATAAGGTGATCGCAACCTCTTCAGACTACTCCAGCTAGAAGGCGCCTCAGAGACCCTCTGGTCCAACTCCTCAACAGGCCAGGGTCACCTGTTTAGGTAGGCTATGAAAGGCCACAGCCAGGTGTCAGCCTACCGGTCTCCATCCCTACCCCAGCTGGCTTCCCAAGGAGCCCTCACCCCTAGCCAAGCATGCTGTCTTCTTAATATTAAGCTTGACCAGAGGTACTTATCCACTTGAAACAGCAGCTCATGGCAAGTCTGAGTTCTGAATCCAAGGCACGGAACCGTGTCCAGGGTCCCAGAGCTCCAAACAGATGCCAAATCCCATCCCACTGTGAGAAGACCGTCAGACACTGTCAGCACGGTGAGCTCATAGTCCGTCTACCATAATCCCTCAGCGAATCGGTTATGTGAAAGTTCTAATCATCCTATTTACAGTTCTTCCGGAGGAATGAAGTCACTCAGACGCTTGACTTCCGATATTGTTGCTTACAACCTTATGAGAGAGACCTCCACAATAAAAAGGACACGGCCAACCTGAGTGAGAAGAGTCTTGTAAAGTGTTCAACAGACCTTCTGGTTTCCAAGTTCTGAATGACTAAAACCTGGAGCTGCATTCCTCCTTCCACCAGCCCTGCCTGCCCCAACATGAAATTCCTGCCACACATAGTTTTAAGTAATAAAAGATGGATTTGAATCTTCAAGAGTGGAAATGACGTTGCACTTCAACATGAAAAAAATGCAACTATAGGAGTATTTGTATTTTCCTCCAGTGTTCAATCTAAGCTTCTCAAGGGCAAGGACTTTGTTTCGTTCAACACTCTATCCCTTGGAATCCTGGTGTGGTGCTGTAGGATAAGCATTCAAACACAAGGTCAATTTGAACCTCAAGGTCGGCAGTTCAAACTCACCAACTGCTCCTTGGAAACCCCAAACAGGGTCGCTATGGGTCAGAACCAACTCAACAACACTTAATAACAACTACTGCCAGCACACAGCACAACATCTGGTTACTGCTGGCACTCAGTAATTGTTTGCAATGAAGGCTATCATCAAAGAACAACAAAGTAGATTTTATAAACCATCTAGGCCTCCAAAAGTCAATCTCTCCAAGTCAGTGGTTCTTCATCGGGAATGTAAGCGCTACCTTACAGCCTCAGTGGCTTCTCCTCGTGTCTGGGGGGGAGACCAGAACTGGCAATGCCAGAAACTCTACAGGGGGCTCCTAGGTCTCCGCTGCAACTTGGAGAACTTAGCTTCTCCAGGTTGCTGCTGGGGGTGGTGTATGGACTAAGATGGGAAGTGGGCTAAACTTCTGATGTTTGGGGAATCTTTTTCCAGTCTCTTTCTGAGAGCTGGGCTCTTGCATGGAAACATCTTTTGCTCTGGTGCTTTCCTTCAGCAAGACTGCACACATGGGCCCTGGAGACAGACCTATCCAACAGACTACCGTGCCTGGTGAGGGCTGGCTGTCCTCTATCCTGAGATCATCTCATCTCATGTCCAAGCCATCTAGGGCATGGCTTACATCCATTCTCAGTGCAGTTTAGCTGGGCTGGCTTATAATCTTGTTGCTCTTTCAGCAGTACAGCATGGTGGTTACAAAAGGGGCTTTGGAGCCAGACAACCTGAATTCAAGTACCAGGCAAGGAACTACTCTAACCCTGAGAGTTCCCAGCTGTACAATGGGGAGGGTTTATGTTCTAGAGCTACTAAGAGGACCAAATACATCCCTTTACACCTACATCTGGTAGCATAGTGGTTACGAATCGGGCTGCGAACCGCAAGGTCAGCAGTTCAAAACTCCCAGCCGTTCCGTGGGAGAAAGATGAGGCTTTCTGCTCCCGTAAAGATTTACAGCCTTGGAAACCCTGTACAAGGTCGCTATGGGTTGGAATCGACTCCACGGCACACAACAACAACGCCTAACACTGGACAAGCTCTAAGTACGTTAGCCCTTAGCATTGGGATACTATTGTTAATTACAATTAACTTTTCTTTTCTTTTTTTTTTGGTACTCTCCTAACCATTAGAATATTTTTGCTTTAATGAAAACTAAGAAGGAAACACAGTAGTAGATGAAAAGATCTTTGTCTTCAAGAATAGCTGCATATTGATGGTTGGAATAAGTGGTCTGACTTTCCCATGCACCTTGTGACGGCTGAGTCCAAGATGCATGACGAGGGACAAACTCTGATGTCTCTGTGAAACAGATCAGACACGTGCTGTCTTGTCTGCCACCCAAAGGCTCATTCTAACACCTGTCTGGGGACCTCTCAGCCTGACAGCATTGCCTACCTCTCTTCCCTTTTCACACTCTGCCTCCCACAAACCTCATGGCGCCTCCTCAGAAAAGCCTTCGCTCACCAGCCCAGCTAAAGCAGCCCTCCTGTCCACGCTTTATGCAGCACACGTTACCAGTTATGCTTGTTTCATAATGATGCTGGGTGACCTATACAAGGGCAGCCAGTTGCTGAATGCAGAGCCAGGGTTTGCTGAGAGTGAAGTCAGAGGGTTCTTGGGCTCCAGACAGACAGGAGGGGCAGCACTTGTCTTCAGCATCCGCTCTTTCTCCATTCATTCACTCACTCATTTATCCATTCACTCATCCATCCATCCAAATATTTATCGGTGCCTCGTACAAGACAAGCAGACAGACAAACACACAAACTGTGTCGCACATACTTTGGAATGCCGTAACTATTTGCAGGAAGGAGGAGGGGAGACTGAGAATGATGGGGCACCCTCAGTCTCTCCCTTTAACACCACATGCACTGCACCTTGGCTGTCCCCTCACTGCCTCGCCAGGGAGCCCTCTGGGGGGCACCAGATCACCAGTGGAGAGGGCCTGTTTGTTTCCACACAAGGAACCCGGTTCAGCCAAGACCTAAAGATTCTGCCAACCCTTCTGCTCCTTAAGTGACTCCACCTCACTAACAATAAATTAGGCAACTTGTGTGGTGCCAGGACCCTGGGCAGTCCAGCGGGGAGCACACACTAAACAGCTGCTTTCATTTTGACAAAATATGCAATATGCTTTTCCAAAGCCCTTACCTCACACCCAGGCCATTGCAGTAGCCTTAACGCCCCACGATGGACTGAATTGTGTCCCCCAGGAGTCTGTGGGTACAGTCCTATTCAGAAATACGGTTTTCTTTGTTAGCTTAATGAGGATCTATCAGTGTAGGGTGTGCCTTACTCACATCTGAGTGTTTTCCTTGTTGTTGTTGTTGTTAGCCGGTTCATAGTCACCCTCTATAGGGTTTCTGAGGAGCGGATGCTGGGTTTGAACCACCAACCTTGCAGTTAACAGTCCAGTGCTTATCCTACAGCGCCACACCAGGACTCCAAGTGATGTCGAGGTCAGTATAAACACAGAGACAAGTAAGCCCAAAGAGATGATGCCAAGGGACCAAGGACTGTGGGTTACCAGGCCTTCTAACTCCCTAAGCCATGACATTCTGCCCCTGCAAAGATTTTTAAAGCCTCAGAAACCCTATACAGGGTCTTTAAGAGTCGGAATCGACTTGAAGGCACGAGTCCTGGTGTGGAGCTGTGGGTTTAATGCCCCAGACTGCAAAGCCGTTTGAACTGCAGTTCAAGTTCACCAGCGGCTCCTCGGAAACCCTATGCAAGGTCGCTATGGGTCGGAATCGACTCGACGGCACTTAACAACAACAACAAAGTGGTGAGATCAGCACTTTGGTGGCACAATGGTCAAAGCACTCTGCTGCTAGAGGGAAGGTTGGTGGTTTGATCCCTCCAGTCACCCCTCAGGGTCGCGTTTGGCGTTTGGTTTAACTATGAGAAAATACATTTATGTTCTTTAAAGCTACCCATTTGTGGTGTACGTTACTGGAACACTGGGAAACTACTCCTTCCTGGTCCTGCCGGCTCAGCTGCCTGAGCATCTAACAGCCCTTTCCTTTCTCCAAGATATCTCTCCTCCCCTAAGTAGCTGGGCCTGGGCTCTGAGAGAGAGGAATACACAGTCTCCAATTTCTCCCCTACCACTCTGGCTCCCTGCTCCCCTGGTGAACTTAATTGCCGCCAAACCCTGCTGGACCATATTCCTATAAAGAAACTGGACTAGTGCCTCTGCGGCGGGTTCCCTCCCCCTCCACGCCAGACGGCAATGGGGAGGAGGTGCTGGGCCCGGTGACAGTGCGAGGTTGCAGCCAAGTGCACGGCCAAGCGCGGCTGGCCGGGTCCCTGTGGACACAATTGGCCTGGCTGCGGCTGAACTCCGCTTTTTCCACGTGGGCTCTCGGCCTGGAGACTAGAAGCATCTCTCCGGAAGGCCCCGCGATAGCGCTGGGAGGTTTCCCCAAGTAACTCCTTCGCCTCATCCTCTCTCCCTGCCAGAAAGTCCAGTCGATGCCCCCCGACAGGGGAGGAAGGGGCGGTTGCACTTCCTCTCCCCTCTCACCAGCATTCTTCCTGACCCCAAAGCCCGTTTCCGTCGGGGTAGGCTCCAACCAAGTGAAACGGGGCAGGCAGCGCGCCGGCGCGCCCAGAAGCAGCGGCTACCAAACCCGGGAATGGCTCGGGCAACGTGTTTGTTTCTTTCCCCTAAAAAAAGGGGGAGTAAGTCAAATTTTCTCCCAGAAGGTCCATCGATAAAGAACGTGCGGTCTTTAAAGGAGATGGGGCTAGAAGGCAGAGAGCAGGAAAGCGACAGAAATGAATCCTTGTGACCCCAACGCCTCCGACTCGGTCGGGGCAGGCGCCTCCTAGGACCCAAACGTCTCTTGACCGTCCTTGCCCACATCCCTCGGTCGTAGTCGTCCTAGGTCCCGGGAGCAGCGAGGCTCCGGCGCACGCCGGTCCCGCAAGCCGCGGAACCTGCGTCGGCTGGGTGCAAAGCTCGGCGACGGGAAGCCCGCGCCCAGTGCCCCCGTCCGTTCCCCTTCGCCCCGGAGCTGGCCCGCCCGTCCCGCCTCAGGTACCTTGGCCGCAGGCGCCGCGCTGCAAGACGATGACCGGAGGCTGGCGCAGACTCTCGGCGCGGCGGCTGGCGGCGCGCAGCTGGCACAGGTTGGCATAGGAGCTGCCGTCGCTGCCGCACACTGGCTCGGGACTGGTGCACACGCAGAGACCCGCCTGCGCGCGCCGCCGCACGGTAGCCGAGGCGGGGACCCCGAAGGGCACCACGCACTGCAGTCCCTCGCCGCACGGGCCCTCCTGTAAGCCGCACGCGGCGCCCTCAGCAGCGCCGCACACTTCGCAGCAGCCGCAGGCGTCGCGGACGCGGCCAGCCTCGCAGTTGGCGGGCGGCGGGGCACAGCGCGCGGACTCGCAGCGCGCCGGGCAGCCAGGGCCAGTGGGGAAGGACGCCGAGCTGCCGGGCCGCTGCGCCCGGGCTCCCAGGGCGAACAGCAGCAGCAGTGTCGGGAGCAGCGCGGCGCGCGGGGGTTGCATGGCGACTCGAACGGTGGCGGTGGCTGGGCCGGGTCGGGAGCAGAGCCGAGGAGAGCACTGGAGGCGGTGCCGGGGGCTGGGCCCGGGCTGGGGGAGAGGCGCGGGGGCGCGCGGCCGGTCTGGCCCAGCCCATTGGCCTCTCCGCTGTGACGAACCGCCTGGGGGACGGGCGCGGCGGGGGCTGGGCGGGCGCGCCCAGGCACAGCCGGCTCGCGGGCAGATCCGCCCACTCGATGGCCTCAGTTTCCCCGGCGCGCCCCTTCTTATCTCCATGGATTCGCCTTCCCGTCGAGGATCCCCCTGCCCCTAGAGACCAGAGAGAAAAAAGGAGATTTGCAAAGAAGTCGCGGGCATGTTCCTGCAAAGTGCTGACCCCTGGCCCGGGGTCACCTGCTCCAGAGGGCGAGCGGCACGCTGGACGGAACCGTGGACTCTGTGCTGCATGCAGTACAAAGAAGGGGACGCCAGCAAGTTTGGCAAAAAGCCAGGACCGTGGCCCACGGTTGTGACAAAGCAAAGAGCGCGGTGTTTACTTAGAATACCATCACTGGAATCTGAGTCTTATTAAAAGTTGTTGGGGAAAGGGGAGCGATGCGTATTTCTACCTGCACACAACACACTGTCTTTCCGAGGAAGCCCAGAGAATGGTGTGTGTGAGTGTGTGTGTGTGTGTGTGTGTGTGTGTGTGTGTGTGCAGGGAGCCCCCAGAAGAGAAGAGCTTTGTACTGGTTGTGTTTGTTCACTATGTGCTTGTATTATCACAAAATGTTTTTGCTGATCATAAGCAATCGTCTTTTATCTCCACTTAAACAGGTTTTGATGCAACTTTGGGTCAGATGCCAGTCTAGTCATCCTCAATAGGGAAGGGGCGAACCCTGAGGCACCAGGCCCCAGAGCAGCGTCTTGACACGGCAGCCAACTGCAAATGCAAAAAGTGCCCCATGCTAAGGAGGAGGTGGGTTCCCATATGCAGGTTCCCAGCAGAAGAGGGGAGGGGACACTTAGAGATTTTTCACTTTTGTTTGTATTTGGATTTCTTTCTTGTGTGTACATATTTTTCCAATAGCTTCAAAAGTAAAACCCAAATATTTATAACCCTCCCAAGTTCCAGTCTTGTCAGCGTTCAGGATCCAAAGGGGTGTGTGGGTCCTTGGGGAGAGAGACAGAAGATCAAGGTGCCTGGAGTAAGAGAGAGATATTAGGGTACCCAGGCTGGAGTTGAGGCCTTGCTTGCCTCAGTAATTCATAAAGCTGGAACCTTGGCCTTGGGGAAAGGGAGGCCTTGACCCAGCTCTATCCCTGGAGGACATTCCTTGGGCTGGGCTGATGATTAGAAATTCCGAGGGCAGTGTTTGGATAGCTGTGATTAACAACAAAAAGGGCTGGGGTAGTGTGCTAGGATAATTATTTAACAAAGTTGTTGTTAAGTGCCGTCTTAGAGTCTGTCCACTAATCATGATCCTGTATAGGGTGTCTAAGGAGCGGCTTGTAAATTTGAGCATCTGACCTTGCAGTTCAAATCAACCTTGTGGTTCCGTGTATTATATCCCACAGCTCAACACCAGGACTTCATTCTAGGAATTCTAGTCACCATTGTGGTTGTTAAGTCGGTTCTGACCCATAGCGACCCTGTATAGGGTTTTCGAGGAGCGGCGGGTGAGCTTGAACTGCCGACCTTGCAGTTCAAATGGCTTTGCAGCCTGGCGCATTAACCCACAGCGCCACACCAGGACTCCGGACTACAGATATAAAGCCTCTCAAATCCTGTGGTCCACTGGGGAAAGGAGATAAAGGAGGCTGTAACGGTGAACGGAGTTCTTTGATAGTGCAAATGGAATATACCCAGTAGCACCTAGAAGGAAAGTCCTGGCAATCTTCTGAAAGATCACAGCCATTGAAAATCCTATGAATAGAAGTTCTAGACTGAAATACATGGAGTTGGTCACATGAGTCATGAGTAGGAAGTGACTAGACCTGGCAACTGGTTTGGTTTGGGTACAAAACTTACTGCTATCTTGGCGATTCTCACTTATAACAACCCTATGTAGGGGTTCCAAGAAATCTGTCTCTTGGGGAGCGGTTGGTGTGTTTGAATTGTTCATATCACAACGCCACCAGGGTTGTTGTTGTTGTAAAGTGCCATTGAAACAGTTCAACTCATAGCTACCCTGTATAGGGCTTCCAAGGAGCAGTTGGTGGGTTTGAACCACCAACCTTGTGGCTAGCAATCCAAGGCTCATCCTATAGCGCCATACCAGGACTCTTATCATCAGGGGGGTGGTGACTGTGTGCCACCAAGTCAGTTCCGACTCAGCAACCCTGTATAGGGTTTCCAAGGAGCAGCTGGTGAGTTTGAACCGCTGACCCGTGGCTAGCAGTCCAGTGCTCATCCTACAGTGCCACACCAGGACTCCACCCCTGGGGAGTTGTTGTTAAATTCTGTCCAGTCAGTTTGACTCATAATACCCCTGCATAGGGCTTCCAAGGAGCAGCTGCTGGGGTTTGAACCTCTGACCTTTGTGGTTAGCAGTCCAGTGCTCATCTTACAGTGCCACACCAGGACTCCACCACCAGAGCTGGTGTTATTGCTTTTAAGTGCCATTGAGTTAGTTCCAGCTCATAGGGACCTTGTAACAGAGTTTCCAAGGAGCAGCTGGTGAGCTTGAAACGGTCACTTTACGGTTCAAACTGACTTTGCAGTCCAGCTCATTAACCCACAGTACCACACTAAGTGGTGACTACATTGGTGGAAAATCAATTTTGTTTAATTTTCTTATTTTACGGATGAGAAAACTGAGCATCAGAGAGAGGAAGTGACTCCCCACATCCTGAGCCTCCAAGCTCCTTCACACCAGAGAGGTCCCACTAAGTCCCCATTTCTCCCTCACTCCATTCTCTACCCCATCTTCTTCCTCCCACCCCCAGACACACACACACACACACACACACACACTCTCTCACACACTCTACCCACCTCATTGCAAAACAACTTGCATTTGCTGGAACATACTTTCCTTTTTAAACTATCTGCTTTTGCTCACACTAGTTCTGAGATCACCCTGCCCCCTCTCCAGTGAACCGAAGCTGTGGTATCTATTGGGCTTGGGTTCAAACCCTGCTTCTGGCTCCTAATTCTGTGACCCTGGAGAAATTGTTTAAGAACCTCCAAACCTTCACCAGGTAGATGAGGGTAAACCTTCACCAGGAAGATGAGGGTGTCAGGTTATAAAGATCAGGTTATAAAGACCAGCCTGGCCAAGTGAGGGACCCTTCAATATGATGATGTCATAGATCATCTCCCTCCTTGACTCAAAGTCCTCTGGGAAGGATTACTGGAGCCCTGGGCAGTCCTTGTGAGAGGGTATATGCAGGAAGCAAAGCGGATGACACCTAGAATCTTCCCTTAGTGCCTAATCCTGCGCATCTAGAAGTTTCTGGTCTGAAATGTTTGTTCTTTCCTTACTTTAGATGTCATTTACAAATTTCTGATAAGATGTATGCTTTAAAAGTTATGTGCCATTGAGTTAGTTCTGACTCATGCCAACCCCATAGAACAGAGTAGAACTGCTCCCCAGCATAGGGTTTCCAAGGAAGTAAACGGCCACATCTGTCTCCCTCAGAGCAGCTGATGGGTTCAAACCACTGACGTTGTGGTGTCTGAGTGCTTTAACCACTGCAGCACCAGGGCTGCCTTCTTGCTCTGCTAAGTCTTCACCACTTGGGTGCAAATCAGGGTGCATGGTTTGGGGAGCAGAGTGTGGGCTCACAGTACAGTGCTAAACCGTTGCGCCACCAGGACATCTTATGTTATTTTCTCTCTCTCTCTTTTTTTTTTTTACATCATAAAAACGAATTTCTCACTCAACCAGAGTTTGGCACGAATTCTTCAGGATGATTTTTCTGGAGAAAAGTGGTAGCTCCGAAGCCCTGCAGGCTGTTTCCCAGACATCCTCTCGTGGCCCTAATTTGTAGGGATGGAGCGTTCATTCTGAACACAGTCAAGTCTATTCATGAATGATGAACAATGAAGTACCACGCTGCCAAAGCCTTAGGAAATGAGGCATCGAAATTGGAACAGAGCAGCCAAATTTGTGCAACTCACTAGGGCAAAGATCTCCCCTTCAGGACGGGGCTGTAATTGTTTTCCCAAATACACAGAGGATCCAATCTGCTCTTCAAGCCAGGTGTCATCCAAGGATAAGAAAACGTATACAGGAGGACAAAAGGGACTTCAATGAGGGGGAGGAGTCCAGGAAGTGAAGGCTGTACCCATTGCAAATCAGGTCGCTTCTGACTCATAATATCCCTAGACACAGTAGAACTATCTCACAGGATTTCCACTGTTACAATCATTATAGAAGCCGACTGCTACATCTTCCTACCAGGGAGTGGCTGGTGGGCTTTGACCGCCAGTCAAGCGCTTAAACACTGAGTCACCAAAGCTCCTTAAAGGCGTTAGGAGGAAATGAGAGTTGAGCTGTTTCTTCAGGGGAGGAAGAACGGGAACAGAGGTAGCATGCGCAACTGGGGTAGATATTGTGAGTCCACACATTTAGCTTCAGGGCACAATTTGTATAACCACATTTTGTTATGTGCAAGTCCAGTCTGGCTCATAGTGACCCTACAGGACACAGTAGAACACCCCATAAGGTTTGTAAGGTAGTTACAAATCAGGCTGCTAACCTCAAGGTCAGCAGTTCAAAACTATCAGCTGTTCCACGGGAGAAAGATAAGGCTTTCTGCTCCTGTAAAGATTTACAGCCTCGGGAGAAAGGCATGAGCAGAATGTGGGACCCTATCCAGAGAAGCAGAGACACTAGAGATGGAGGCAGAGATGAGGACATGGAGAGAGCAGCTGAGGACTCTAGACTCATGGAAAGAGAAAGGCTGTGCGCTGGTGGCCAGGAGGCAGGCTTGCAGAAAGTGCCCTTTGGGTGTTTAAATGTTTCCTGAGTGTTTTTGTGTACATCCAAAAAAAAAAAAAAAATGAAATAGAGGGA